ATTCCTTTTTTCCTCCTTCAGTTATTATGGAGTGAATTCAGAAAGTACTTTTTTGTAAATCAATGAGAATTGATTGAGTTTTTAATTAAAACCTGAATGTGAAGCCGGGCGGCGGTGGCTCAAGCCTGTAATTCCCAGCACTTTGGGAGGCCGAGACAGGCGGATCACGAGGTCAGGAGATCCGAGACCCATCCTGGCTAACACGGTGAAACCCCGTCTCTACTAAAAAATACAAAAACATAGCTGGGCGAGGTGGCGGCGCGCCTATAGTCAGCTACTCGGGAAGCTGAGGAGGCAGGAGAATGCGTGAACCCGTAAATTTAAAAAATCAGTTCATTGCACTAGTTACCTTTCAAGAGTTCAATAGTCATTTACTAAAAGTAGCTACTCTGTTGGACAGCACAGATATAGAACATTCATCTCCAAGTGGTCTACTCGACAGCAATGAAACCACTGATCAAGGTCAAAAATCTCTCCACTGGCTCTGGAGACTTAAGAAAATTGTGATTTTGACCCTTCAGTCAGGAACACTCACAAGCAAATTTCTAGATAATAAAGACAAATGTCAGGATATTGACGACTTGTGCCCGTCTTGTATAGAAACACACATTTTCTTTAACTGGCCAAGTCCTATGCAAACAGTAGAGGTCATTTTGAAACCTTTGCAGATGACCACGTTTGCTGTGCAGAGGAATCCCAGATGTACACACCTGCATTTGATGTTTCTACTATACATAACGTATTAGTCAGTGTGGTTCATTTTAGTTGTTTGCACTGCAGCAATTCTTCCCATTTATCAGACTTGCTACCTTCTTCCATTGATTGAAACTAAGGCAGAAGGTGGAGGATATGCAAAGTTCAAACCAAGAGGCTTGCAAATAGGATGTTACTAGACATCTTTGGTGAGACCAAATTCACAGTTACCAACTCATAATTGACATGACATCTGACTGCTGCAAATACTTTTTCTTGTTCCAGAAACACACACATACCACACACACTTTCTCTCTACTCAAAACTTTAAGCCTGTTGCAAGCTGATGGCTCCTAGAAATCAGCTAGCCAATTCTAGCCCCTCCCTACCTCATTAAGTTTAATGTATGTACCTGCACACCTGTATCTTTCTGTACACATCATGAAAGCCAAGATGAACAAGCTATATAGAAAAATGGCTCCAGAAACCTGGTGACCCGATTTCTCTTTAGTCCATCACTCTGTTGAACTCAGTGCTGTCATAATCCCTTTGGTTTTATAACTCCTCAGCACATTTAATGGGTTCCCCATTCCTAACTGGAGAACATAGTATTTGGAGCACCAGGTGGCATCTGGCTAAGACCTTTTTTGTTGTGGTTCACTTCCATTATCTTTTTAAGGGAAACTTTAAGAAAAAAAAAAACTTTCTAAATTATTATCTATCAGGATGTTTTAGATGTGTCTTCTCCAGGACCGATCCAAAGAATAAACTTTAAAAGATAAACTTGTTTCTTTGAATTGCTATGCAAATGATAGCATATTTACTGTGAAAGTTAACTGTGCCAGAAGGAGGCAGAAAGATATTGAGACCAGTGTACCTACATCTTGAAAGAGGCTTTTTGTAGCTTCCCTGCTTCATTTATGTCTTATCGTATCACTTAGTTTCATGAGGCCAAATGCCGTGAACCTCCCTTTCCCTCTCATGATTCTGCTGTTGCATACCTTCTCACACACTACTTTGTCCTGAGTCACCCCTTTATGGTGATGGTGAGAACGCTCACCTCAGCGGATTATGGGACTGTGTGTTCTAATTAGAACCTGAATAGTCCTGTGTTATCAGTGGACACTGGATCCTGTTTAATTGTGCTGAGATCATTGTACACTGGTTGATGTATCATTGCGGTCCACTGAGCAAGCAGCTCTGTTATTTTCAGTTTGATCATCAACGCTCCACTGAACACAATTCCTTTTGAATATGCCTATTTGCTCGTCCTCTTTGCTTAATTGAACAATTGCAATTACGGGTACATACAACTGAATGTTAATTATTTTCAGATTTTTTCTGTTAATGATTTTATTTACCCATTAGAAGACTATCATTTTCCACACCAAACAAATTCTCCATCTGAAGCAGCATGATATATAACCATGTGATCTCTTTGACCAAAAAGAAATGTTCAGTCATTTTTGTAATAATTATGTAACATTTAGACAGCTAAAGACAGTCTTCAGTAACATTAGTGGTTAAACAACCAGATAGGTAGGAGATTACTAATAAAAAGGGTGACTTAATAAATATAAAAAGAGCATTTACTTCACTTTATAAGAAAATAAGAATTGTTTGAATAAAATTTAAGTTAGTATCTGACAAAGGTCAAGCAGAATCAATTTTGAAAATCTGGAAAGTTCAGCAAAGTATAAAGAGTGTTTAATCCCCCATAATCCTCCCCACCCCAAGACAATCACCATTAACATTTAGATATATTTTCTTCCAAAGGCCTCTAGGCTCTTCTTTTGGGATATGCTTAGGACCGCTAACGTTTAACATACCCCTGGGGTTGGTGTTCCAACCCCTGGTTTCTCCACGGTGTTTTTGTACTTTCGCTTTGATACTAAGCTTTCATTAACCTCAACTTTAGCTCAGTAGATTTGGGTAACTGCTGTTCTGGTGTGGTCTTGCCACTAGGCGTTCCTGCAGTGGGCTCTGCTGCAGTCCTGAGTCACATTTCTCCTTGTGTTTTAGGGTGGTTATGCTGCATACCGCTATGCCCAGCCTACCCCTGCCACGGCCGCTGCCTACAGTGACAGGTAAGGGTCATTCTTCTCATGCTTGACAAATACTTGGAAATTAACTTAGTTGATGGGAGAGGAGATTCTTGTATGGTCTTGGTGAAACTGCATGACTGCTGGGGGAGGTAGCACCCCAAAAGTTAGGTCCCATGGTGAACGTGAACTCAAGGCCCCATAGACAGAGGGCAAATGCTTCAGCCCATTCTAAATTACTTTCTCTGCTAAGACACAAAGAAAATGATAGTCTTGTCCCTGTGTAGTTTTTAACATCTCTTAATTCCTGTGACAACACAGCTTGCTCACATACACATACACACACACACTCTGTACAACCTTCTTATGGTCATCTATGTAAGACTGTGGTTTCATCTAACTCATAGGAAGAAAAACAGACCACGATCCTACAAGGTTTATTTCAATTTCAAGTCCCTTATTTCCCTTTTTACAAGGTCTTATACGGAATAAATTATTCCCTCCAATGCATTTTTACAATTTGAAATAAAGGAGAAGGAGAGTGTCCCTGGCATTCATAAGGAGATTCATTCTTTCTGGCAATGCCCAGTGTCCAATCCTACAAACATAAGTCAACTTTTATTTGTAATGCACACCACATGTTAAGGCAGGCAGTGGAAGGAACCCACTGTGTTTGAGAAGTGCAGAAGTCAGAATGGATGGGCAAGTTGTGGGCGGGTGGGGTGGAAATGAGGGGCTTCTATTACCCAGGCTTAACAGAAGAGTTGGTTCCTGAAACAGCAAGCCGTAGCTACTTTTGTATGGTTGCCTTGAAAAGGAAAGTGTGTGTTTTCATATTGAATGCAACTCCTTGGCTCTGTTTTCTGAGGACATAAATGTGAATGTTCAGATGCTCTGCATGCACAAATGTCATTGAGGGTGCTTATTTTGGTAATGAGTCCTTTATTTTAAAAAATACGTTTCATGAATAAAACAATGATAACAATTTGCATGTGTGGCTGGGGCATGCTGGGTCAGACAGGTAAGCAGGCGATGTATTTGACTCCTGAATGGGAAGTGTCGGCAGCCTCTGGTGCTCCTACCCGGGCCTGTTGTGATGTAGTTCCTACCTCGGTTTGCTGTGGTGTGCTTTCTCTGCAGTTCCATTCCATTTCCCACGAAATGTGCTGTTAGCTAATTGTAGAATTATTGCAATATAATAAAGCAGAGTAAATTCCTGAACCCTAAAAGCGGCACTTTGAAAACCCCATGCATACACTTTTAACACATGGTTCTTCGTAAGATGGAGTTGAGATCTGCTGTCTGGTTCTATGCAGGCATCTTCTTATAAGCAGCCATAACAAGTTCTCAAGGCTGTAGGGGGCCTTCAGAGAAATCCAGACAATTGTCAAGACAAGGTTCTCAATACATAAATTATACATTTACCCAGTAATCAGTTGCCAAGATGCAAAATGTGTTTCATGTAAGTTGTTATCTTCAACCCACTGACACTGGATTAGAAAAGTAGAGGGTCAATAAGGCTAATAAAAAAATACTCAAGATCATTGTACAAATGAAAAGGTCTAATGTTATTAAATTCTGCACTGAAGATTCACAAAGTATCAATTGCAACGTGGTTCAACTGCAAGCCTTAATTTTTATGAAAATATCTCTAGATGCTACATTCTCAAACACCCACTTTGCATATAATTATAATCATAGTAACTTTAGCCTGCTGTATAAGAATCTTAAACGGATTTGATTATCTTTGCTTTTCAGTATAAGTGCATCTACCCCCACGTTGAAAAAAAAAAGATTAATGTATAATTTAAATTGCCTCCTTCAATAAGGCTGGTCTAGACATTTAAAAAATAAACAACATATGATACTATTAGAATTATCTGAGATTCTGGCCAACTACTTGCATTCATCTAAACATTTTTAAATTTCTACATTTTGGAACACCGTATGTGTAAAATCTGTTATTTTGGTATTATTCAGATTTCTCATTGGCAACATGTCCCACTGAAAAATCGCCCTTGTTCTTGGATTGGTAAATCTTTAATAACTGCAATTCCAACTTTAGTACCATAGTTTCAGCTGAAGAAACCAACTAACTATTCTGTTGTCCATATAATTGGCCTCTTGTTCATTAGAGAAATTTGCACATTTGGTCTTGTTGGTTGCTGTGGAAATTGATAGCTATCCTTATTTAACTTTATCATAAGCAAGACACTTGCCACATATGCAATTATTCATTGAAGTAAATTCATTAAGTAAATGGACAGAAAGCAATCTTTAAAGTTGTATTTCTGAATTTTTAAAGTGTCTATTAAATGGTGCTACCTCCTTTTATCTTTAATAAGTGGATATTGAGAAGGAATACCTTTTTATAAGAAGACACTTTTAGGGAAAATGTGAAATTATCAGAATAGCTTTTGAATCTAGATTAAAGATGCCAAGTACCTAGAATTTCTCTCAGAAGTAGCAATCGTGTAACCAGTTATTTTTATATCATCACAGCATAGAATCAGTAGTGATAGATTCTTAGTTCCTCTTCTGTAGAAGACAGGCAAGATAAAGAAAAACTTAACAAAAGAACTTCTTCAAAAACAGGAAGTAAAATCAGCAGGCATTCAGAATGTTTTGGTAATGCTCTCTGGCTGTCAATTGATCAAAAGAGAAACAGCAACAAACTTTCCCTGTAATCATGAGATTCATTCTTCAGACGTCTTGAAAGCAAAAGTTTGATGTCCCCACTTGGTAGGATTTCACCTTTTATCAGTACAAATTAAGCCCTCATCAAATTAAAGATTCAGGGACCTTTGAGAAATATTGAACTCCAGTAACCTCAGGACTGTCCAGAAGGTCCTTAATGGGCACCTTGCAACTCCCTGCCCATCATCTTCTTGGTTAAATGATCACATGCTGATCATCTCGGAGCAACCTGAGAGTCTCTGAATGTTGACCTCCAGAATGAAGACCATCTGGTGTGGGCAGAGATTTCCCCAAAAGGAAAATACCTGACTGGACTAGGTAATTTTAGAGTCTCATTGACAAATTTAGTGGGAATAGGTGAACATCTTATCTTGGCATTTAGCAAACATTTGGTAAGCACTTGACCTCACCAAATCTTTATTTCTAATCTCACTTTGATTTATGCAAAGCCAACTGTCTGAACTCTCAAAAGGAGAACGTTTTCTGAGCTTGAACCAATTGAAGCATGGCAGAGGGGCCTTTGGTCATCCGGTCATTGCATGCCACTTGGTGTTGCTGATGTGTCTGTGATACGTTCTGGATTGGACAGGTCCATCACATCAGCTTGATGAATGGCTTGCTTGAATTAAGCCTGGGGGCAGGCTTCTCTTTATTGATTGGCTGATGGTTTGTGTATTATGACTTTGTCGTTGTTGCATCTTGAAGCAGCCAAACTGGGAGGTTGGGGGCTGGGGTGGGGGCGGGGGGACGTCAGTGGGGGTAAGATTCCCTGTTTGATCAACTGTGCCACAAATATTTGGGAAAATATGATGTGTACATAGCTTTGATGAAAATGTTATCTCCCCAGACAGACAGACATTTGTCATGCTTGTCCTGCTTGCTAACACTCTAACATTTCCTAATGATCAATGCATGAAAACGTCCCTCCACATCAGGGCAGAAAGTAGTTAGATGCAGACTGCCTAGACACTAAAGCAATACAGAGTTTTTCACTCAGATTTCATCACAATCCGATTACACTGATAGTTACCAGGGGCCATTTCTTCCACATAAAACATGCATTTCTTGTAAAGATACATGAAAGCTAAGAAGCTTTTGACATATAGTAGCACCAGGACACACAGGTATCTCTAAACTGAGCAAAAGACTGCAAAGCAACATAATTTTGTTTTAAATGGATACCTCCTTGGTTTTTGAGACCTTAAAGTTTCACTGCTAATGTAGAGATAGAAATTACTACTTTTGTGTGACAAAAATGACATATTGGCTCTGTTGTAATAGGTATGAAATATATACATACATCAATATAAATTCTATATAGCTCAACTTAATAGAAATCCAAGTAAAATGCCATATTATCTTGCTCTCTGCATACACACATGTACACACACACACACTCACTTGTGCCTTGGGGCCTCACAAGGGACTTGTAAGTGTATTCAGGTAAAGCTTAATGCAAAGAGACCAGGGTTTGTTAATTTCAAGTGGTCACAAACGAAATGCTAGAAAACGTAAGTTAAATATGACATTCATAACCTATGAATAAAAGGTTCCATTTCAAACAGATTTGTGTTTCTTAGAACCTAGTAAGGATAAGTAGGCATATTTTGGGGTTCATACAGGATTTAGTCTTATTTAAAAAATATGTAAGTGACAAAGATACATACATACATCCATATGCGTACACATACATAGATGGGTGGAAGGATGGGTAGATGGATAGATGGAGATAAAGCGATAGAGGTGGGTGGATGAATGGAAAGAGGGAAGGAAGCAAGGAAGGGACCATCTTTCTGCCCTCTAATAGTTCATCATAAGCTAAATACAGAAAATAGGACTAAATCCTTATTATACAATCTTACTTCAAGCTGAACTAAAAAAGTAAAAGGATTTGAGTTGATTTCCATTAGTGCAGGCTACTCCCTATTTTAGAACTTTATTTTCTGGCCTCAGATTAAGTAGGAGAGAAATGCTGTCATGAAAATACACAAATAAGTACATTTACAATGATATTCCATTTTATTTGGAGTCTTTATCTGATGATATAGGCTAAAATTTAAGGGATTGTCAGCATATAAAATGTATTAGCATCCTGAATAGAAAATGTAATTTACCATTTAGGGGCTTATTTCTGTGGGAAGGTTAATTTTGTAAAGAGATGTTTTATGGACTTTTTTTTTTTTTTTTTTTTTTTTGCAGGGTGGGTTGGAATACAAAGCTGAACCTGTGGATAATTTGAAACCCTTAATGAAAATAGATATATAAAAAGCAGACAAAGGGGGTACTTGCTCTGCTTTCTGCAGTCCTCTTATCTGAACCAAGTTTGATAAGGATTGAAAATATTTCTA